GTAAACATAAATAAATAAATAAATAAATAAATAAATAAATAAATAAATAAATAAATAAAAACAAAGTACGACACACAGCACACAGGACATAGGAACTCTCCATGTGGGCTAAGGGTGAATCATTTATGGATACTTTAATTTCTGAACCCTTCATTTTAAGCTATGCTCAGACTAAGAATTCTACCTGAAATTTGGATGGTTTGCCCTTTTTTTGGAATACTTTACTAACTGTCCATAATATGGACAAATCTCGCATTATTTAAGTGCTGAGATGCATTAAAAGAACAGTTATCTAAGCATGTTATAAAACTAAAGTCTATAAAATTAAAAATAGCTAAAAATAATGTAAAGTCAACAGACCAATAAAAGGAACCAGAAGACATTCAGGTTTCATGGTTCAGAAAGGCTGCAGAATGAGCTTCTGTGTGTGTGAGGGATTTTTTAAAAATAGATTTACAGTAAGTTGGAAGTGTAGTTTATATAACCTTAAAAACTCATCTGTGAATATGACTACCGTGCAGAAACAGGTTTCTATCTTATCCAGTGTCTGCTTTGTTATTTCCTTTTTTCTCTTCTGAAGGAAATGGGACAACCAATCTTAAAATCCTATACCCTGCCCATCCCAAGCTCCTGGTAGCCAAGGTAGCCAGATGGAAGATTAGATGAAACAGGGATGTGCTGCTCATTAGTCACCACCCTTCCATCTTTCAGGAGAGGAAGCCAGGAATATCCAACTGTTGAAAACAAACAACAACAAAATCCACTGTAAGTATATCAAAAGCTAATATAAAATTGTCTGATTTTGAAAACTAAATATCAATTAAGAGTAACAAATTTTAAAAAGCACTTGAATATGGTCTTTGAAAAACATTTTCTACAATATACTTTGGCCTCTTTGACTATAATTCTAAAATTTTATTTTATAAAAGCTTACATATGCAACCCTGGTATGCTATTTTTGCGCTTTGTAAAAATTCACTGAAATATCTTTTTACAAAAAAATGCAAATCCAGGATCAAAATACAATTTAAGAATCTAATGTGTAAACTATCAAAAAAAATAAAAAATAAAAGGAACGAAGAAATTCCCAACCTTGTGTTTCAATGACATCTTTCTTCTTTGTACTTCCTTTGCTTGAGCTGTCACAGCTGACATGGAAGAATGTGAGCAACAAGTGATGCTTTTCATGAAGCTGGGTTGGCAACTCTATTTTAATCTGCAGGAACACAAAAACAATCTTTCCTAACATTTATAAAGATCAAAATTTTTTGGTAAAAACAGAGATATCTGTCACTATATACACAAATGGGAATTTACTTTCTAACTGCTTTTAGCATTTGAATTCAAAGACACCTGAGCTGCAAAATGTGCCTAGGGAGAAATGAATCATGACTTCCTTGAATAGAAATAGAAGAAGGGTTGTTGGTTATTTCAACACTAATACTATTGGAAAACACGTAACAGTAACTACTGTACTAACTTAACTAACTTAACAGCCTCAACATATGAAAAAGGAGAGTAGAACATTTCAAAATAGGATTCACATGGCAGTTTTACTGAATTACAGTTGACCCTAGCGTGGGTCCACTTACATGCAGGATTTTGTTTTAATTTTTTCACTAATTTTATTGGTACTCTTTATGTATACAATATGCTGACATTTGTATTGGGAATTTGTACCTTTACATAATATATCTTGGTTCTTTGTTTTCATTTTATGGTGCTGGGTGTGGAGGCCAGCACCTCACACACACTAAATACAAGCTCTACCATTGAGACCCACAACAATTTAAAAAAGCCTGTAGACTAACTATAGCCTACAAATACTAAAAAAAATAAGAGAACATTAGATAGTTCATCAATGCATAAAATACATGTATATAAACATCAATTTTATAATTTATCAACCATAAAATACATACAAATCCATTATGGAAGTTAAAATTTATCAAAATATAAGATACACTTAAGTTTGTACATGGCACCATTCAGTCAAGAGAAATGTAAACAAATATGAAGATGCAATATTAAATTGTAACTGTATAAAATCAGCTGCAGTAATACTGCAATTTCATAGCCACTTCCTGTCACTACGGTGGTGTTGTACAGTATCTACTTAAAATGCTGTGTGATGCTCGCCCTCTCTACATGAGCAGTATCTCTCCAGTAAACTGTGCATAGAAAAAAGGGATCTCTCATAGTTCTCAAGTATTTTTCACCATATATTACACAAGACATAAAAATATGTGCTAATCCACTGTTTATGTTTTTGGTAAAGCTTCCAGGCCAGCAGGCTGCTAATAATTAAGTTTAGGGGGATCAAAAGTTAGACATGTATTTTTGACTGCTGAGAGCTATGTTGGTGCCCCGAGCCCCGAGGCTGTTCAAGTGTCAACTGCATGTTAAACTTTGACACAAGCAACACCAAGGATAAGAAAGGAAGATTTTCAGGTCCAACAAAGGATGATTTTCAGGTCCAACAAATATAACTGTACTCAAGTATGGAATTTCAGCCAGAATATTAGTTGTGACTGAACGATCGCTTTTTCTTTTCTGTATTACCTGCATTTTCTAAGTTGTTTTTTTTCAAACAATAAAGATGTTGCTTCAATAATTGGAAAAATACATAGAACGAATATTCATTTAGGTCTACTGCTGCAATTCCAGTGCAGTGTATAGCTTCATTTGAATTTTGCTATGCCAGACATGTAACTTGACGTCTCCCTTAAAATTGGTCAAACTTGAAGACACCACTTACCTCATCATAAAATTCTGGGTTTTGGTGATGGTGTAAAACAGCAGCAAAGGCGCTTCTTGTGAACACTGGGCCTCCAGGTCTGCCATAAATGCACTAAAATAAGAGTTAGCAAGGGGAAAAACACCAGGTTTCAGTAGTAGAGTAAGAAATGAAACTCAGATATGTTGTAAAGAAAGTGGTATTTCTATAGTGTAAACCCTGGGTACACTTCACCTGCCTATGAGACTCCAGGCCCACTAACTTTTAACTTTGGGGATCAGGTCACTTGCAAGGGCATCTCTAGGCACACTTATCTGCTCCCCTTCCTACTCACCCATGCCTGGGTGATCCTCTGCTTACTATTCCTTTTCATGCTCTCACACTTTTGCTTAGAGAATCCCTCTGTCCAAATAAACTTTGCCTCAGTGTGCACCAAGCAAACCCATGTGCATTCTTCAAGAAGTTAGCTCCTTCTCTTGTGTCCTCTCAGCATTTTTATACACTGATTCTTCAGTTTTGTTCAAAAAACTACTTCAGTACATTCTGGGTGCCAGGAGTTCACCCTACAACTGTATTTCTCACTAAATTACAAATTTATTAAGGCTATTATATTTCTTTTTGTACCTTTGTCTCCTCCCCTTTTTAGAAATCATTTTAACCTAGTAAAGAATTTGGATTCTGGAATTAGACTGCTTGGATTTAAATGACAGTTCCCATATATGACATTGAGCAAATTATTTAATTCTGTGCATTAGCCTCCTCATCTAAAAAGATGTATCTAAATAATACCTAGCTCAAAAGACTATTATGAGCATTAAAAAAAATTAAACACAGAAAAGAGCAGCACTTGGAGTATGAGCAGCATTCAATGAATGTTACCTAAAATCTACTGATATTGTTTCTGCCACACTACAACATGCATTTAATAAAGATTATCTGCTGTGGACCTATTATTATTTTTATTATCAATACTGTTCATATTAAATTCTTAGCACCCAAAATATGCCTTTTTCAGAGTAGGTGCAAAATAAGCTTTTACTGAATTGAATATATATAGAAAATTTCATCCCCGAAGAGAAACAAAAGATAATTAGGATCAAGGACTTAGGTATTCAATAGTCTGTTAAGATTCAGCATACAAGATTGTACAGTATAACATCATATAGTTTTTATTTGTTATCAATTACAATGGCTTAAAATTACTTTAGTTGTATAATATCATGCAAGTGCATTTTTAAAATGGAAAAATTAAAATACAGATAATTAAAAAAAAACCCACAAACCTTTAGGGCCTGAGAGTCTTCCTCATCTGAATCTTTGAATTCAATGCAAATTGCAATATTTCTGGCCTGCAGCAATGTTTAAAGAAAATAAGTCAGTATATAAAAATAATGTATATAGGAAGCAAAATCCCAAGGGAGAGTTTAATATCAAGAATGAACAGGAAACCTGCACACTCACCTTGGCAAAAGACTTTTGACTGTCATATTTCAAGTACTTAGGATAAACATACAGGTGATTGTTGTAGATTGTGTAAGGCTGAGTGTGTTTTGGTATGCAAGGTACAAATTCCTCTACTTCGAATGTGATTGGAGTCTTAGTACAGGGTTCAAATTGCTTCATGGGAATATATGATGAATTAACATAATCTGAAAAGATATTCAAACAATTCAAACTAAAGGAAAAACCAGCCAAGTAAAAGTTTTGGGTATTTATGAAACAAATTACACTTACTAGGGAAGTCTGAGGAAACATTATCAATCGTAATGTCTAGATTGCCTAAAATTACTGGGAGTTTAGCCATCTTCTCAGGTCTACAAAAAAAGGCAGAGAAAAAGCAAACATTTATAAATTAGGTTAACTATGAAACCTAAATCCTAGAGCAGCACTTCCAAGAGAAGCGCATTCCAGTGTAATAACAGCCATAAGGGCAATTTTAAACTTCACAGTACCCACATGAAAAAAAAAAGTGAAAAAAGGTAAAATGAATTATAATACATTTTATTTAATCCAATGAACCAAAATATTATCATTTTGTTATGCTATCAGTAAAATAATATGCAAACTAAGCCTTCAAACCAGATGTGTCTTTACCACCTGGAGCTCATCCTAATTCAGATTTTCTGTATTTCAAGCATTCAATAGCCAAGCTAGGCCTCTAGCTAATGTACTGCACAGCACAGGTCTACATAAAGAATATCAGCAAAATAGTGAAAATGAAAGCATCGCTGAAGCACATCAGCCTCACCATAATTACATGGCTTATTTAGAATCACCAACATGCCCAAGTAGACATCATCTTGGACTCCTCTGGACTTCATCTGGACTAAATGCCAAGTACAGAGCTGATGCTCAATGAAACTATTTGCATTTGGCCTGGCTCTATCCAATCTCCTCTGATGTTCCTGACAAGCACTGTTACTGCCACTGCCTTTCTGGTGCCAAGGTAACTTCCAACACAGTCATTTCAATACCAGGCTGTACTTCCTCATAGCATGGTGAAATCAGCTTCTCTGAAACTTCTGCTCATCAAGGCAGCTGCTCATGTTCCTTAATCTTTCAAACACCTGTAGTTTCCACACATTCTGAAGTCCTCCATTCTCGGCACCTTTGTACCTTCCCCTAAAGGAATGTAGGTACCTGGTAAATCTAGGTACCTGCACCTGCACAGATTAGGCACTATGGTACAGTATGACCGGCTGAGGTGAGACAGCTATCTGCTATGAGCAATAATTTATTTACTAATGCAGCCCAAAAGTCACAACTTTTGGTAGCCACGTACCTAGTGACCCACAATAAATTTACAATCACCTAAAACTCCTAAATCTGTTATTACTTGCTTTTACCTATCATGCTACATCTCTCTGATCTGTAGTTATACAATTGTGTTTGGACCTCAGAACAGGGTTTCTGCTTTGCCTTGTTGAAATTTCATCTTTTTGTTTGGGCCACTTTTAGTTTATCAAAATCCCCCTAAACCCAAGTTCTAACATCTAATATATTAGGTCTTCTCAGCAGCTTTATGTCATGAACACATTTGAAGATATCACACAGACTATTGCTAAGAACAGGCTCTTTCTCAAATCTCCAGAGGCCTATTTACTAAGAGACACCAGCCCATTAATCACTCATTTTGGCATCTGATAATTCCAGCAATTGAACAACTGCCCACTCAACACATAAACACTTCTCTGATTTGTCCAGAGGTTATCATAGTATATACCTACGGTAAGTACATTCTGTTGAGAACTTTGCATTTCTCTAATGCACCAGCTTAGCAACCCAAATTAAGTGAGAAGAAACTTGATTAGGATGGCTAGTTCATCATAACATGACCTATTCCTGGAAAACAGAACGCATCTGGATGCTTTCTTGATAAGTCACCTGTTTAATCATTTCTTTTAGAGCATTGCAAGTAACATCAAATCTCAGTAGATCAGCTTTTGGTTTTACTTTGTTAAGAGTTCTTATCTCTTGCTTCTAACATTCCACTTTCATTAATTTTATATATTAAGCAGCCTCACATGTAACTTTTTGGTGTATCTCAGAATCTTGTTTGGCTGAATCAGGACTTCCCTAAAGATCCTAAATTCTTGCTTCCTTACTACCAGAACTATGTTGAACTGATCTATCTTGGTCAATCCCCAGCTCTAAGCTGCAAAATCTCTTTCTCCCAGGGTCTTTCATTTTCACTTGCCTTCTATTTACACTAGAGTTTAAATGAGGAATTCAGTGAAATCTTGAGAGACGTAATGGTCAGGAAGGCAAGTCAATCTCTCATACATTATGCCTTAGTCAAGACTCTGCCCAAGAGACCTCCAGACACAGCTCAGCATAATCCCACATTTCGCCTCTGTGCCCACTGGCAGGAGGAGGGTGAGTAGTGTCCCCGACAGTTAATTCCTGTGAGCTTTAATTGCCTCCCATGTACTGTGCACTCCCTGGTGATATGCTTTACACAAAGTTCTTTACAGGAATTAATTCTCAATCGTGACTTATTATGCAGGCACACATTCTTTCTCTTTTTTTTTTTTTAATAAATACAAGGGTCTCACAGAGTCAACCCTAGCCTTTCCTTTTCTTTTATTTTTGCTTTAAAAGAGATACCTCAAGAAAATGAAGTGAGTAATGCATGCCCTTACAGGAGTTGAATGAACCACAAAAAGGAAAAAAAAAGCCATATTTTTTGTTAAAGTGGTAGGCTGCCGTCATGGATTGATGTAGAAAAAAATTGTAAAATATACAGTTACTGTTTTATTCCAATGTAGACCAAAGCGAGGAATAAAATGGTACTGCTGTACCCTCGGCTGCAGGGCAGGCTGGCGTGGCCCCTCCCTTGTCATCCCCTGAAGGGAAGAGCGTGTATTCACCCAAGTTATTTTATAAAATTAACTTTTCCCTAGTGAAAAGACATTTCCTAACATTCAAACTTTACTGCACACTCCCCTTTTTCTTTTTTTTTTTTTTTTTTTTTTTTTTTTTTTGATACTGGGGATTGAACTCGGGTCCTTGCACTTGCAAGGGAAGCCACCGAACCACTGAGCTAAATCCCCGGCCCTACACATTCTCTTGAGAGGAAATTATTCGCTTCACCTCTTCATTTGAACAATTTAACACTGTAATGTCTCATAAGTACTCCACAAAACTACACAAAACTACACACTCCACACTCCACAAAACTACAGAGAAAATTGTAATGTTGTGTCTGCTTTAAAGTTGTGCCTGAAAAGAGGTGCACAACCTCTTTTCACTTACTCCCAAGGACAGTTCTAGGAAGCAGGGACCATTATCATCTCTTTAAAAAGGGGAGTCACGCAGAGAAGCCAAGGAACCTGCCTAGCATGGAAGTAAGCTACAGACTGGGCTCTGAAACATGAAAAGGGGGGAACATATATGCTCTACGTGTTGTCTGACAGTGTGGGAAGGGGACCCAATTTGGTCAGAGGGAAAAGCATGGTACGTCAACATCTACAATGTGTTTAAAGAAAGTCAAGGGCCCACAACTGGCTTGTGTGCAGTGTGAACAGAGTAAGAATATAAAACTTCACACACACACACACACACACACACACACACACGCAAACAGAATACAAATAAACACAGATGTATATGCAAAGACCCTAATATTATTATTACTTAAATTACCAATGTTGCAGCATGTAAAAAGACACATTTTAAAGAAAATAGTCTTTAAATAGAAAATACTTTGTCTTTTTGCCTTCAGATTTCCTGCAGAAGTTAGAAAAGGTATCACTGTGAGCAAACCTAAGGTAAAACACCAAGTCTCTCTTCTTATGTTAGGTATCTGTTGGAGCATACGCACCAGCGGTACTGCCTACCTGACAGAACCACTTTCTTACTATACCTGGGACATGCCCCCAGGTAATCACTGCAAGGGAGAAGGGGAGAATGGCTTATCAGCTTTGGCAGAAAGTTTGGAAAGATTAGGGTAGCTTGGGAACTTTTTCTCATATATTATACAATCACAGCAGCAGAAACAATGGTTCTTGGACCCAAGCTAGTGCTCAGGTGACTGATAGGAAATTCTTTGCTCTAAAAAAATAAACAGAAGATAAAAAGAGCAATGCTAAGGTTAGAAAAGAAAAAGAAACAAATAATCTACTTCCCTAACTCTACAGTACTGCGAACAATACAGGGAGCAGATGTCAATGTTTCCTTGAATCCTTATGAGAACAGTGTCCCTAGTCCTAATGCATTTTTTCACTGCTCAGCTGAACACTCTCAGCAACAAATCCATCCCGCTGGCAAAGGCCATGAGGTGTGAGGTGAGAGAGTCCACACACAGAGTCTCACTGTGCTCTGAACCACTGAAGGTTGCACTCTCTGCTGTCAGGCTGTGAAGTCCCACTCTTCTGTCTGTGATCGGGGCTAGCCTCAAAGACATGTCCTGAGGGGAAGCTGCAACGAGGCAGGCCAGTGAAAAACTTCTGAAACAAGGCTCCAACCACTGTCACATATGAAAATCTTCATTATTTTCCCAGAATATACAAGTAAACATTTATTTTTAAAAAGTATTAGAGTGCTATAAAGTAGACAATGAAAACCACACGTAAACTCATCCTTCAGAGATATCCATGATTAATGTTCTGGTATATATTCTACATGACTATTTTTTTGCATCTTTCTACCTAGCTATGTGCCTAACCATTTTTTATTTGTATACAAAAAGATATATTTTAACATAGTTTCTTCTTAAAAATAAGGCCACAGAGATACAGTTTTTCCTCCTTAACACCCTTCTGAGTTCATACAGATTCTACAGATTCTATAGTTCATATAGATTCTACATCAGGATTATTAAGAGGTACATGGACTGGCTGTGGTTGTACATGCCTGTAATGCCAGCACTCAGGGACTGAGGTCACATAGTGAGTTCATGGCCAGTCTCAACTACATGTTAAGACCTTGTCTCAAAAAAAACAAACAAAACAAAACAAAACAAAACAAAACAAAAAATTTGTAGTGAAATTTTCAAAGTATTATCTTGTTATTTATATAAGGAAGGCTCAAGGTTTACTGGAACTCAAGTTAAAAATAACAATTACAGGCAGGTGTGGTGGTGCAGATCTGTAATCCCAGTACTTCGGAGGCTGAGGCAGGAAGACTGGTGTGAGTTTAAGGCAGCCTGGGCTCAAGGATAGCCTGAACTACAGAGCAAGACCCTGTCTAAAAAACAAAACAAACAAACACTCCAAAAATGATAATTACTACTGTATGACAATATACTATGTATAATACATTACCTAATATCAGTAAGAAAAATTTTTGTAAATATGCCATGGCTCATATTTGTAGTTCTAAAAAATCAGAAACATGAAACATGCTAAAGGTCAAAAACCGAGGTAATCTATGGCCTGCCTGCTCAATGGAATATCATAATGTTTGTCAATAGGCTTTAAAAATGAGGTTTACAAAAATGCTTAACACTTTCAGAAAAGACTCGTTATTATGCAGGAAAATGTCACACAGCTAGCATGACCTAACTACACTGAGTACTTCCATGAAAGGTAAAAGCAGAGGCAAGCCGTTTTTCTTCCTCTTACTCTTCTGCATTTCCCAAAACTTTTGTAATGAACGTGTATTTATAGATGTAAGACCCACTACTATTTAAATATAAAAGTAAGTGTTGTTCTTTAAGTCTTCCAAGAATGGTAGCAAATTCACAGAGATCCAAGTGTACTCTCTCAGCAAGCCCTTTGTTCTGTCCAGGGAACACTACTGCCAAATGATGTCAGCAACCAGGGGTGCCTTATATGGCGGAGGAAGCCAGAGAGGCTGATTCAGCACCCTCAACTTTCAGTTATTCTTAATTCAATGACCTAAATGAGCAGAGGACAGGTTCTTCACAGTCAATCCAGTTAATATGCAGTCCTGCTGCAGAATTGGGAAACTCTATTGGTACAGGGAAGTAAACTAGCTTAGAGATAGCAAGTTAAGGTTGTACTTCTAATTAAATCCCAAATAAGGAAAAGATCAAGAGACTCAAAAACTGTACATCATCAAAGAGAGCTTGAGAATCCTTCATCAGTTTTAAAAGGATCTTGTTCCATCTAAGATTTCCTCCCTTTTCTCCTTTTAAAAATTCTTGACAAAGTGATTCCATATCACTGATACCTAAAGTTGCCTACTGACATGGCCATGCTTAGATTCTTCTCTCTGTTTTTAATCTGGCTAGATAAGATTCCAAATTTTGGTTCTTTTGTTTCAAAACTGCCTTGGCTGTTCTTGGCCCTCTTTCCATATTAATTTTAAGATCATCTTATCAACCTCAATGAAAAAATCTTCTAGAATTTAAGTGGGAATAAAATTGAATTCATAAACATACTTTGGGGAGAATAGTTTTTAAAATGTGAAGTCTTCCCAACTATGAATGGGGTGTATTGTAGTGCTAGTCAGCTTACCCATTGCTTGGACCAAATACATGACACCCACAATTTAAAAAGGAAAGGTTTAATTTGATTTGTGGCTTCAGGGGATTCAGTCCATGGACATAACAGGAGGACATGGCAGAGCAAAGGTGTTTAGTTCATGGTAGCTGGGAAGCAGAGAGGAAGTAGTGAGGGATCAGATATAGAATGAAGGTGACTCTCCCACGACCGATCCACACATACCCAGGAGTGTGGTTTACTGATACCCTGGGCTGCTCCCAAGCCACTCAAGTTGACAGTCAGCTTAACTGTCACAAAATAGTATTATTATTTAAAGTTTTTTCATGCCTTTTAATACAGTTCTGCATTTTTCTCCTTGTATACTACATCTCTGGAACTAACTGAGCCTATTTCTATGACCCATAGATCTCTTCTCTTCTGCCAGTGAAGAGAAAAGGTAAAAATGAAATTCAATAAAGCTAAACAGCATTCTTGATTTTTAGGTAAGCTGGTATATGTTGATATTTTCAAGACTGAGGGGCTGGGGATTTAGCTCAGTGGTTTGGGCACCTGTCTCACAAGCACAAGGTCCTGAAAAAAAAAAAAAAAAAAAAAAAAAAAAAAAAACTGAAAAGCGCCGATGGCATAGAAAAATCAGAACCTAGTTCCTAGACATTTCTTTCATGTTGTCTTCTGAGTCTTCAGCTCTAGTCTTAGAAAAACAACCCATACAGCCCATCTCCCCATCAAAGGAGATCAGGTTCATAGGTTCAGAAGTGATGGAGTTATAATAGTGCACAGTGGCTAAAACCACACAGCCTCAGGCCACACAGACTTCAACACACTACCAGCTGTACAGGATGTTGGAACATTACTTTCTCTTTCTTTGCCTTGCTGTTATAGACTGAAATGTGTCCTTCAAGAAGACAGGGTGAAATCCTAATCTAATCCTCAGTACCTATGGGTGGGATCTTATTTGGAAAAAGGGTCTTTGAAGATGTAATCAATTAGATGAGGTCACTCTAGTTGGCCCTGATCCAGTATGCCTGGTGTTCTATAAGAAGGAAATTTAGACAGGAATGGTATAATGAGTCAATTTATCTTAAGTCAGGAACCTTGAAATTGTTTATCTTAGATATCTATTCATATCTACCTTCTTCCACTCTAACATCCAATGAGGAAGCCACACCCAGAATTACACCTATCTGCTGTGATTTGAACTAGCCCCCTACTTCCTATTTCTTCTTGCAGGGGCTTTGCCTCATGCTGTCTCATCTCTTTACTGAGCTCCCTTAACTGTATCCTTACTCCCTAGACACATCTCTGTCCCAACCCAATGCTCATAGCACCACCCAAAACATCTGATACAGAATTCAAATCAACCAGGTTACTGTGCTGCTTGTGAACCCTTTCTTCCTTCCCGAGAACTTGAGAAAATGTTGTGTCCCCTCCCCAATCCCTTGTGACATATGAATTAAACAACCATATGACTGCTACCCTGTCCTATTCTATCCCCTCCCTGTATCTCTCATGTGTGGAAACATGTAAGACCTTGAAACTCACTTCCGAAAGTCTGCAAGTAACTTGAGCATGTCATCATTTGATAGCTTATTGCTGTCTTGCCTGTAGATGGCAGAAAACCTGGCATTTTTGTCAAGGTTTCCAGCTGTATCCTTAAACAACGTCCTGAAATAGCAAAGCAACATTTTAAAACTGAGTTTCCAAAAGACCAAAACAAATCCATCATTTAACTCTGGTTTCTATGCACAGACTAATTATTATTCCATTGGCTGCAGCCAACAGAAATCTCATTATCTAAAAATGTGGGCAATTATTAATGAGGACGGACACAAATAACTCAATTTACACAGAAAACAGTTCTGTCAAACATGCTTGTGCTTAGAAACAATATTCACATTCAGATGCTTAAAAAGTAAAAAGCACAGATGGAGGCCACTGCAGGCCCCTGGGGTCACCACACATTCTCAGCTGGTGGCAGGTGCTGGGATCTGGGATCCTTTTGTAGCAAACCTGCCCACCTTGCCAGGGCTAGATGGCTACTCTCTGGCCAGCATCTTTCCTCTCTATGACTCTGCTAAAGGATTTTTCAGGTGTGGGGCTTGTTTATTTGCAACTTCCCACATTCAAATCCTCTTTGACTCTGCATAACAAACAGAAAAAGCCTATTAAACTACCATCTATCTTTCTATCTCCATATGAACATTATAAAAGATGTTCCCCTTACCTTGCTGCCCAGGCAAAGGGCATTCTGTACTGTCCTAGTCTTTGGCATGCCTGCTTGGCATTCTTCAGCACCTTCTGAGCAACCTGAAATACAGAATACAGAATACATCCATGACAAACTGCATCCCCTGGACAGGTGAATTAAGCTCTAAAGAGCCATCATTATGCATTCATTCCATATGCTCTCACCACAGCATCATCTGCGTGGAAAAGTACATCTTTCAGCACTGACTATGGCTGGATTCATATTCAGTGCAGACCTCTTTATTTAAAGTATTCTTTGGCAGAGATTCTTAAAGAATATAGACTGAGCATTATTTCCAAAACACATGTCTTTCCTTTGGTCTAGAATGCCACAAATATGCTATTTAACAGATTTATACTTCGCTTTTGACTAAGGACTGTTGGGACAGGCTAGCATGGCTATGCTGACTCCATCTTGTCATATAAGCCTCTCATAAAAGTTAAGTTTCTATTTCAGTGGTTAAATTTCTGTTTCCTAGAATTGTTTCTTATTCCTGTAACTCAGCTGTTATGGTTGCTTGGTTACTATATCTTATAATGTCTGCAGTTTGGCTATGTTTTGTCCACTTGTGGTTTTTTGCTTTAAAAGTCTGATGTCTGCCTGCAATAAACGTCACCTTGATCAGACTCCTGTCTTGGCGTCCTTTCTTTCTCCTGTGCCCCAGCTCCACCCGTTACTTTTTCAGGTAGTGAGCACTGCTGGACAGTGCACCTCGTTGCTGGCTCGCGACAAAGGACTACTTTAATTGTAAACCCATTGAGTTATTAGTAAATTCTGATATTTGATATCCATGCCAAAACACATCGTAATACCAGAATTCAAATGAAAACACTAATGAACATAATAAGCACAATTCCTAAAGTGTACTAGTTTGTGCACTTGAGAGGATATTTACATTAAGACATAAGTACTGACTTAAGAGTGTTCTGAACTGCTATAATTTGCTACTTTCTAATGATCAATTTTGTTGTTGTTGTGAGCTAACTCTAGTACACAACAGAGTATATTTGCTTTTGTCCAAAAAACATGTTCGTATGGTAGGTCTATTACTAATCAACTATGCTTCTACTACTAAAGCAGATGACAACTAACTTCCTCAAATCTGCCTGTACTGTGATAGTGCCCTGTTAGCCTGATTGATTCAGACAGTGCTAAGTACCTTATGTTACCTGATAACATCAAACTCAAATCAATTTTGTGCTTTGCCAAGTCACAAAGTCAGCATCACTGTTAGCATGCAGCATCCTGGGGCCTGCCCCAACTCTCCTGGACCAGAATCTGTATTCTGACAAGCTCTTTAGTGAGCTGTGTGCACCAACAGGGGTGAGATTCCACAGTAGGACCACAGAGCCATCTGTCTCTAAGCCAAACAGAGTCCACCTGTGTATGCAGAGCACTAAGCCTCTCTAGGCTCTACTTTTCTCACCTGAAAAGTAAAGGGCTTGGGCAATTCTTTTCACGATCCCTTACAGCTGCAAAACTTTATTATCCTCCTATATTTGTGCTGTGAGAGCTGCTACTTCAAAAGTGAACTAGAAAATACATCTTGGCTGAAACAGATGCCAGGAAATTATCTAGTACTGCTGTGTCCTCTTAGTTGTGTATGTTTGCCCCTACCTGGGTGATTTAGTGGGGTCTAGGGATTATACAGTCATTGGGTAAAAAGGCTGAATCTTTCCAGAGGGTAAGTTTATTTAAATGTTTTCAGGTTCAAGATTTTTAGATCTAATAATAATGACTATGCTGTGGAGTAAAATGCAGTACTTTCATAAAATTTAAAGCTAAAACACAAAGGTTTGATAAATTTTACACTTTTCTGCAAGCAAGTCTGAGCTCTCAGATTTACCATGGGTGCAAATAGAAAATATATGTGAAAGTAAGAGTGAAAGAGCCCTTTGAACCCCACAACTTTTAAAAAATCTATTTAAAATAGATTATCTATGGAGGCTTTGCATAAAAGTTGTCTACAAAATGAAAATGAAAACTCACTCCAAATGACATTCTAGATCATCCTGGAAAACATGAAGAGACAACTCTGACAGAACAAAATAATTTCTCCACCAAAACTACTATGCTGACAAGATGACTAAGTCTTAATTCCTACTGTAACGCTGGCAGGTAGAAAGAAATGAAAGCACCAACAAGCACACATGGAAAATCTTTATGCTCCATAAACAATGAAGGAAAAGCAAACTTCATCGATAGTCCGTGGACAGTGGGGCACAGTAAGGTTAAATTTCATTCATGTGCGTGGCAGAAATAACAACAGTGGTATGTATGGGTCTTAGAAGTGTGATGCACACACAGTTGGGGAGTAGCTCTCATCTAGGGCCTTCATTTGGTTATTAATCCAAACAGAAAAGCACTAAAAAGCTCCTTATCCAAGGTTGAACATACTTGATTTAAAAAACTAAAATAAAAGGGCATCTCTCTAGGAGAGAGTTTATCAGCAAAAAAGGCTTAATTGTTTAAGCCAACAGGCCTGGTAAATGTGCTTTTAGTTGAATAGAGCCATCAAAAATAATGATGCCTTATACACTTTATCTGATTCATGGTCTATAGCATCATTTTGTTAATTATTTATTTGATCTTTATTTTGCACCAATATAAGGAAAATCTAAGACAGCGATGTTGAACCTTTTAGAGACAGAGTCCAAACTGAAACCCCAAATCCACTTATTTATCGCAAAGTGCCAACACTACAATTAAACTTGAATACTGAGGTTTTAATTTAGAAAAGATAACTCATACATTAACATCTTTTGTCTTAAAAGAAAAACAACACACATGCCATAGGTTTGCCACCACTGATCTAGGTAGATGATGGGATTTGTCCAAAGTACAGGGCAAATCAGGCTATCTGCACCCAGGACTTATGATTTCCAGAACCTGTTCCTTACTAACTAACCAGCCTGCATCTCTGTGGACACACCTGTGCTGCACAGGAGGCAGAAGTGAAGAAAGGAAGCTCTGAATCAACTCAGTAAACCTTGGTCAGAGCCTCCAACATGTCTATTCCTGTGGCTGACTATCCTTGTCAATGCATCCATGTCATCTTTCAGATGACTACTTAAAACATTTTTTAACCTAAAAATATAAAACTGGCAAGGACAGTAGCACTCAGTACCTTACTCAAACCAGCTGGCACAATGTGCTAGAAAGAGACAAGTCAGGTGCCCTTCAGCCATTCTGTCTGTGGGAGACTGAGCAGATTGCTAAGGCTTTGTAGGTCTCAGTTTTATGAAGAATGAAAGGAAGTCTTAGACTAGATGATTTCCAATATTTTAAAATTGTATGGTACTTTTTATTCTATGGCTAATAGCAAATATATTTAAACATTACTTTGAAAATATAGTAAATACATATCTTGTATTTTCCCTAAGTTCATGGCACCTCTGCCTCCCTCAAACAAAAAAAAAATGGACCAGAAGCACCGACACCACTGGCCAGACTCTTTGAGCCAAGGGGATCTCTAAACTCCAATCTCATGTATAAGAGTAAATGAATCAAAATACAACTCAAGAACCCAAGAGACACAACAAGTAAAATGAACTTTGTCTATCTACATTTCTGACAAAGTTTACTATCAAGCTAGTAATTGCTTTGCAAACTATTTTACAATGTCAAAACAGACTAGGGAAATAGTATATTCTATTTACATAGGATGACTTTCATTAAAAGTTGGACACAGAGGGGTTGCAGCTAAGTAGCAGAGTAGGAGTTTAGCACATGCAAAGCTCTGAATTCCCAATTATCCTTGCCCCCCCATGAACCCATAATGTTAAATAGAAAGGAAATATATGTATGTTAAATATTCTACATGTTTTAGACTATAAATATGGATAGCTCACTTTTGAATTAATTATGCATTTATATTTTGATAAAGCATTTAAAGCCATTCATACCTTAGAAGAGTCTGAACTTTTCATATATGGCTCAGCACAATGTGTGATGCTCCCCTGAAGGACTTTTTCAATTCTGGCCACAAGAAATATATCTGGATGTGGACATGTGACTGAAAATATCCCCTATGAGACAGTTTTCTTCAGTTAGTAAAATTCACAGCTGCATGAAATAAATCCAATGCCCATTAAAGCAGCAAAAAAAAAAAAAAAAAAAAAAAAAAAAAACAAAAAAAAAAAAAAAAAAACCCAATGAAACAGTACAAGTTGTGAGAATATAATGCCAAACTGATAAGCTGGGCAACAGTTATCACCTGCTCAATAAGTCTATTTAGTGGGGCAGGCAAAAAGGAGAAAGCTTAAAAGAAGTGAGAAATCAAAACCACTTCTTCCTCAGTTTGCTTTTCCTTTCTAATTACATATACTGTCCACATAATTAACACTCTAAATCACTCTACTTGTGCACTGCAAGGTCTCATTCTGGGTTTACAATGTAATTCCATAGCATGAGCAAGATAAGTCTGAGCAGTACATGTGCTGGGCCCTGATCCCCACCTGCTTTGGATACTGCATGGCGGCTGTGTGAAGGATATCCTGAAGGGCAGGTGGGCTCTGGCCGCCATTCAGTAGAGCTGGGGACATGGGAGCCAGCATCTGCCGCACTGACAGGTGATTCAGGTCCACGTGGAAATCAGCAGAAATCTTTCGGTTGTATTTTATGTCAAACAGGGACAGAGTAACAAAGAAAGGCTCTACCTGAATAAAACAGAACAACCCAGATCATCACTATGGTTCAAACAGCAGGGGTAAAACATGCTGATATTAAAGAAAAAATGATGAGACCTATTTATAGATGGCTCCCATAAATTACTACTAGAGATAAATAATTTTATCTTATATCACATAGAGAATTAGGTTATAAAACATTTTTAAAACAACTATTTACCTTTATGTGCTCTGATATTTAATGTATGCTCCACAGAAAACAGATTGTGAATCTTCCTGAAGCATCTAGGACAGTAGTGGCAAAGCTATGGCACACATGCCAGAGCAGGTTGTCTGTTATCACCGAAAGATCTAACAGGTTTATCATCACTAATTTAGGATGAAATGCCCCCTGGAACCCTGATCATAAACCTACTTTCCCTAACCATCACAAATGTCCTCAAACATCCTGTCCCTAAAGGCTGAAGAACCTCCATAAATTCCGTGATCTAAACCTTCCACTTCTTTGGTCCTGGGAACTAGGATTTCAAACCCAGACTGCACTGTAAATGAGTGACGTTCACATCTGGGACTTGAACATTAAAAAAAAAAAAAAATCTTTATGCTTAAAGAGGAAAATTACATTTGTAGTGGGTCCGTCTTCATTTTCAGCAATACAGCATTGCAAATTGAAAGACAGGTCATTGCACTTGACAAGAATCCTTTTTCCAAACTTCTCTTCAAATGGCTTCACTTCTGGCTCAGATGATGAAAAGTCAAGCTTCTTCAAAAGGAAAAGTAAATAGATAAAGATATTATGCTCCCTTTTAAACATTCCATCATAAATGTCCGAAGAAAACTGCCTAAAATACAGAAATGCTATACATGCTAATTTATTTACAATAGTATTATTTCATGGTAAACTCCTATAGTTTATAATAGTTACATACAGTTCATAGTGATGGTCAAGTAAACAATGAAATACCTACTCAAGGAGTGGTTATACAAGGCTTAAAATTATGGTAATGAACAACTCAAGTGTTCATTAACAGATGTGTACAAATACATTAGATGTGATACATACATACACATATATAAGTATACATATACCCAACTGAATATTCATCAGCCATAAAAAAGGAAATTCTGACAATATGGATGGACCCTGCAAATACTATGTTAAGTGTGACAAGACACAAAAGAACAAATACTCTTAATCTTCTCAGTACACATATGAGATTCCTAAAATAGGCAAATTCATAGAGACCAAAGGTAGAACAGGGGTTTTCAGGCTGTGGTAATAGTGTACAACAATAACAATGTATTTAATGTCACAGAACTTGAACATAGAAATCTTTAAAATGGTAAATTTTATGTTGTATACATGACACCAGAATAAGCAAAAACTACCCAAAAGCAAAAAAAAAAAAAAAACAAAAAAACAAAAAAACAAAAAAAACCACAAACACACAGACAAACAAAAAACAAAAACAAAAAACCCCCGAATACACAAGCGTGTATGTGTGGAGTCAGGAGCCTGTGAAGAAAAAGAAAAATATACACTGGGGGCCAGGGATTTAGCTCAGTGGTGCCATCCCCTGCCCCACAAGCACACGGTCCTGAGTTCTACCCCTGGTACCAAAAACAGAACAAAACAAACAAAAACACATACTGAAGTAAAATGGGAAAAAGGTCTATATTTTTTTAAAATACCACAAACGAAGAAGGGAATATTCAGGATGAAAAACAACAGAGCCTTCGTTCCCTCTCCACAGCTCTGTGATGTGCTTACTCTCACAGGCAGACATGAAGGCTCTGGCTGCACTGGTTTGGGTTTTATGGGGACACAGAGATAGGCTGCATATTCTGCCAGGATTGTACCTAGGACTGAACCTGGCCTAGTCAGTAATCATCACTGCCTCCTGGGTGTCCACAGTGATACTTGCTATTTTCTATGGCTATTGTAATGGGTAAATTACATGATTTTTGTGGATTTGAGAATGTCCTTGGCTAAATCTTTCTCAATATTCAACAACCTATTAAATAGCAAATACAAAAAATATGGTAAGGCAATGAAAATATAGATTGTTTTTATTTTTCTTGAAATTTTCTACATTATTACACTGCTTGTTGATACAAAATAAAAAAATATCAAAGATCAAAGATCTCTTTCCCATTCTCTTAGTTTATACATGAAATATTAAAATAGCTCTTACCTGGGCATCTGGGTCCAAGTAAAAAAGTTTAACTCTGCTTTCACTTTTCAGTTTGATTTCTGCTTCTCTGGTACTCTGATGACAAGATAAATAAAAGTGATATTTAACAAAACGTTTTTTAACACAGAGGTAGACGGCTACATTTGAAAGCTGCCCCATCACAAAGACCTGGGATATTAGACACCCCTGCCTCACCCATGAGAGGCAGCTGCATTTCAACAAACAGAAATATACCATGGGCTATGCAGCATATAAAGTAAATGGTGCGTGGGAGAGGCCGAGTTCACATGTGATCCTTGACCTTACGGGATTGACAGCCAACTGTAAGTCAAAAACAATCTGAAGAAAGCAAAAGAGAATAATTACACTTCAAAACTGTTAAGAAAGGCTTCCTAAAGTACTGGAATATGGGATAGGTTTTGCACAAAGGGGCAGAACTTAGCCAGAAGGAAACACAAACCTTCTTGGTTGATTGAAAAGGATATACAGACACTGAGGATAGAAATGAGTCCAGATGGAAGGAATAGGGTCAAGACTGGGGTACAAAAAGAGAAAGAGAAAGCAATACATTTTAAATGGCAAGGAAGAAGAACCAGGATAGATCTTGAAGGACAGTAAGATGATGATTCATCCAATGACTATTAAATGAGCATCTACAATGTGTCAGGCAATGGCATATGAATGAAAAAAGTTACTAACCCCAAGGGATACCAGTTGGAGAGGGCTGAATACTGAAGTAGTAAGAATGACAAAGCATAAGGAATAGCGGGAACTCACCTGGACTAAGGGGTAGCAATTGGGAAAGGCCTCCCAGAGGAAAGCCTCTCTTGAAGGACAAGCATTTTTGGCCAGGAAAGGAAAGAAGAACACTATAGAAGAAAAGCTGCAGGTGCAAAGGGACAAGTCACACCTGGGCAACGATCAAGTCACTCAATACAACTGAATGGTAGGGTATGGGAGCGGGAGAGAAATGAATCTAGGATTTATATGTTAAGGATTGTTGATTTAATTCAGAATTTAAAACATTCAGTAAGTTTAAGCATCAATAAAATAAAATAATGGCTTCTGCATTTTATTTATTTATTTTTGTTTTGTTTTGTGTTTTTTTTGGTACCAGGGATTGAATTTGGGTTCTCACGCTTGCCAGACAGGTGACAGAACCACTGAGCTAAATCCCCAGCGACTTCTGCATTTTAGAAGCATCTCCTAGGTAAAAGGACTACACAGGGTATGACTAGGGGGCACATAGTACCTTTCTTGGATTGCACAACAGTCTCCCAGGCTCACAGCAAGGCACACAACAAATCCCACTTTTCTGTCTTGATTAGCCTGCTCAGTGGTAGCTCCATTAACTCTGATAGATAATTTGGGTAAAAAGCAACCTTCAGAGAAAGATGATACACAATGTGGAGTGCGAGGTTGCCTATGGGATTTTCAACTGAAAACATCCAGGTGATGGCTAAAGGTATGGAACTTGAGAACTATGTGGAGAGGAGGGCTGGAGACAGCAACTCAAGAGACCATCAGAGCACAGGTGGGAAGGGAAGGCTTTGGGAGTGGATGAGATTTTCTGAGGAGAGTGTGAAGGTGAGTCTGAGGACAGAACACAAGGCGCTCCAAAAATGAAGAGATGACAGAGGAGAAATCACTAAAGAGATTTCACAAATGGTGGCAGGAAAGGAGTGTGGGACATAGGAAAAAAAAAAAAAAAAAAAAAAAAAAAAAAAAAAAAAAGAAGAGCCGTCTAAGACATCCACAAGATAGAAGTCATCTCTCATCTCTATTTAGCACATCTGGTTCCTCTATGTACCTATTCTATTCTTCTTGGCATCAGAGCACTGTTACTCTCCATCTCCATAGTTAAGTTTATGGAGTCAGAACAGAATGTCCTGTTTCACCTGTTACTTTCCTCAAGGATATGTCACATCTCAACACTTGGAAATGGGGCAGTAACAGTCATGCGGAGAAGGTGTTCTGTCCTCTCTGTTGGCTGAGTGAGGTCTATTTACTATGTAGAATCCATACTGACTCCATTTTGAAAAAGTTACTCCATTCTGTGATCAGGCCACCACCCAGTTACTGAAAAAAAAAACCCTCCCATTATAGCCATAGCCCTGACCTTTGTTCAAACCCTGGCTTAGAAATGTAAGGCCATCTTGTACTGTTCAAAGTCTGGATCCTGTTAACGTCTAAGTTAGTGGTTCTAGACTATGAAATACATAGAGACCCCAAGTTAGTTGTTGAACTGTTTGCTCGTCCTGAATGTCTTGGGGGCCTTTGAACCATCCTATAGGTATCTGTTAATTATCAATGTGTGACTGCTGAGTACGTGACTGCTGACCACCAACTCAAGTCAGCAGACCTTTGTCCCGTGCCTGCATTTTCAAAATGTTAACCCCCCTTTTTACAAAAAGGACCTCAGCCCCTGAGCTGGCGCTTCTCTGAGCTACTTGGTTCTGAGAGTGCCGTCTGGCCAGACTAATAAAGGTCTATTTACCATCTAGCCTGGTGTGCTTCTTCCTGGGTTTCTCATTCCTCCATCGTGCTCCTGGAGCCTCATTGGGGAATAGGACCCAACAACGTGGAGGCCTTTTCAGCTGTTCACACTCCGTGGCGTATTAGTGAGACTTTGAGTCTTACAACTACATCTCTAATCAAGGCTAATGAGAAACCAAGCAACTTCTTAATCTTGACAGCCCTGAAGTTGTTATAATAGGTCCTTAGCAAGGTCCTATGATTGTATTTAACTGTTTACACCTAAATAAAATGACCACTTGAATACTAAGAAATAGGCCCTTGATTTTAGTTCAGCTGTTAACTAACTGTGCAAGGTACTTCACCTCCCTGGTCCCACTTTCACTTTTGAGTATAAATGTTTAATAAAATAAAGGCTCAAGTCTCCGGCTCAAATGAAGTTTTTCTTAATACTAACTATGGGAGCTTTAAAGCTTCTGGAAGTTAAGAGGTAAATCTTCTGCTTATGCTTTCAGGGGAAAACATGTGCCCATGGCTGACGTAGGCTCTCTGTATATGGGAAATGAAATTGTTTCATTTCAGACTGCCTATCATTTTCTCTAATTTTTCACATCAAAAGAACTAGAACCTATACAAACAGAATCTACTTAATTGAATGTAAAGAATTTGTTTTACATTGTATACTGCTTATGATGTTTCCTAACAAAGCCATCAGTACTAGGTGCTGCAAGCCACCATCATCAACAACATATTCTACTTCTGAATTGTCTACTTGAGTCCTTCAACAAAGCAAAGACTGTGATGTCAGATGCTAATGTAGAGCAATGGGTTCTTAATGTAGATGCAATTCCTGGTGTCCTTCTGAAAAGATATTTCTTGTTTCAAGTTGTCTGTGCTAGGAGATGACAAATTAATAAAGCAAGGAAAGTGGTATGAGTTCCTTATAATGAAAAGACCGGCAAGAATGAAAATATATGAAAAGAAAGAAAACAACTACAATAACAGGCAAAATAAAAACAAAGCATGCTAATTGTTACCACTAACATGCAACAAATATATTCTTTATCAGAGAGATCCTGTTTAGTGTGAAAGAGCAATATTAGATATAATAATAGCCTAAAAGCTATATTCTACCTTACACAGGTAACTCTGCCATGATCTAGATTAAAAAAAAAAAAAAAAATTTGACTTCTGAAATTTCCTCCTATACATCTCCAGACCTACAATTATGCATTAAACAAAGGGGAAGCCCAGCAGTGGCTGAAGAAATTGCCAGGTAAAATCTAGAAGGTAAGAAAATATGACTTAGTAAGGGCAATGCTTTACCTAACACCAGGGAATAATAAAAAAAAAATAATGAAAGCTGATATTTATTGGACATAGCTAACATATACATACAGATATTATCCTAAGTGGCCATTTAAATTTTATACAACCTAGGGCTAGGGATGTAGTTCAGTGTTGGGGCACTTACTTTAATCTCCAGAAAACAACAAAACACCCTTAAATTTTATGCAACTGCATAAATTAAAAGGCAAAAGTACTGGTATCAGCCTTATATATTAAAAGAGAAGAAACAAGGCTAAGCACTTTGCCCAAAGTCTCACAGCATTAAATAGAAGCCTTGCCTATCTGCTTGAGTCTGCACCAGAGGTGGAGAACCTACGGCACACATGCCAGAGGGCCTGTATTATTGAAAGCTCTAAAAGGTTTGCCATCAGTGGTCTAGACTCTTAAGATGTTCCACTGGCTTGGACCTCTGGTGGTACATGCACAGCTATCCCATGGGGAAGCTTATACCATGGGATTGTCCCATGCCACCTGATAGGACAGTCATGCGTGCACCAATGTTGGTTCAGATCTGCCCAGTAGTGAGATACATGAATTACGGCTCCCTTGTGAATGTGTTAAACATTTTACAGTGAGAAAAAAAATGGAGGAAAAGGAAGAAGAAAGAGAAGAGGAAGATAAAAGGGAGGAGGAGGAAAGGGAGTGGGAGAGGGAGAGAAGAAAATGAACAAGCAAGTCAAGAGGAAGAAAAGACCCAAATGGCAAATAAATATATATATGGAAGTATGAAAAATATTACTAGTAAGCAGCAACATACAAATCAAAGCACAATAAAACATCATTTGTCACTCCCATGACAATACAAAGAAACAGGAATGTAATCAGTCTGGTGAAAGAAGAAGCACAACAGATTAATAGTGTATTCTCAAATGAGATAATTGACAATGTGAAATAGGAAGAAAAGGGCTAAAGGTGTAGGGATAGTGGGAAGGGCAGGGGAAGAGTAATAAGGGAAAGAAAAAATATGAGAAAATGAAAAAATGGAAATAAAGTGCTTGTAAATGGGTAGGGGAGCGGGGGTTGAAGGGAGGGCAGGGACAGGGGAAAAAATGAGAACCAAGACCTGTCATGTAAAGGTACAGGATCCCATTGATGAATGTAACTGTACTGTATACCTAAAATGTACCAATAAACTCAATGAGGAAAAAAAAATAGTATAGTCTCAGGAGTGGTGGATGCAGGGAAAGATTAATGTCTTTATACAACTTTGATAGCCTTTATTTATATACCAAGCACACTTTTAAAAATAATTTTACTTTTAATTAAAAATTTTAGAAAAGACAGTAAAACACTTATAATATATACTCTCACAATCCAAGAGCTCATAAAATACAGCTGTAAAAAAACCAGTTATCCCAAAGATTATGCAGCTGAGCACTTTTCAAAGTGAGAGAAACCAGCCCTGTTCTCAAAATAACCTGTGGTCAGTCTATATCGTGGCTGTCGGAAGAACTGCCTAGCTTTCCCCAAACAACCTGTTCAGCAGAGAGGAGAAAAGGAGAAAGACAATGGCAGAAACTGGCACTTGCTTAAAGTCAAAGAAGAGAATGATTCAGCTATAACAGGCTATTCTCCTGTCCTATCAGTACTCTAAATTCGGTCATAAATGACACATTCTACTCATGTTTTGTCTTAATGAGTTATGGATCAAACATTTAAAGTTTCCAGAAGGGCATACTCTATGGTCCTGAGTTTATCAGTCAATCAGTTAAGCAATCTAAAGGCAAGACTATGGCCAATGGCATCTTATTTGGAGTGTGAGTTTTCAGAAAAAACATCATGCTGACTGTTGGTTGGATCACTTAAATAGAATGTGTTGAAATAGGAAGACCTACCTATATATTTTGAGGTCAAAATATATACTTCTTAATTTGAAGGACTATCAAGACCCATTTCTTTTACTTCTAAGATACCTAACTGGCCAAGACCATTCTCTCACTCCATGTCACAAAGCCAGAAAAAGCATTACAGAACACAGAGCCCCATTTACGGAATGCCAGGTCCCCTAACAAACACACCATAGCCTACTTCTGTGTATCATAACACAATGACATTGTTTTCTGGATCAAAACACATGGAAAGAAACATTTGTTACAGAGTTGGTTTAAAAAAATTAGAAAAGTATCTGTGAAACTGTCTGAGTTCTGATAGGTTCTGCTGAGCTTGACACTGTGACCCTTACTCAACGTCAGTAAGACTGTGAAGTTTGAGACACCAAGCTTTGTTCTGCATTCATCTGTGAAAGATCTGCCTGGAAAGATAAGTTCAGTCACTTTACAAGGATTAAGAAGGGAACATCAGAACAATTTGGGGTTGACAAGAAATTGCTTCTCTTTTAGAATCACATGGAGAGACTAAGAGTGAGCTACTGTTCCTGGGGTACAAAAGAAGCGCAAAAATGGAGGGAAATGTAAAGGGATGCATGAGGGTTTTCTTCACATCATTTTTATATAAAGAAGTAATCTATATGTTCCAATAATCTAAGAGAATGTAACCAGAGAAAAGAAATGAAATAATCAGGAGTGGAGATGACTGCTATTCCCTGACTGTTCAGGGAAGAAACCAGTTAACTAACCCATATGTTTAAGACTGGTGCTGTATATTTGTATATTTATAACAAAAATTGTTTAGCTCTACACTACAATAGGAGGAAGAGGACAGGTTTTTACGGTAGATACAGAATGTTCTCTAATGTGAAAAAAATAAAGACGTTCAGTACTAAATGTACAAACATAAGTTCCAAGAATATGCAAAATACCCTGAAAGCCTAAATCTATTTCACTTACACTGTCAGTAGAGGGCCCTCCATAAAATACCAGAATGAGGCATTGTTATTTTTGCACTAAAACAACTTCCTGTCAATCATATCCTGTTTGGCTATGTCTTAGTCACAAGGGAAAACAAACGCTGGAGCAACAGATGAATGAGCCAGAAAATGGAGCTGAACAGAAAAATCCTGACATCAAATTCTACTTTTTTCTGCCTTCCTCTATTGTTTTAGTCCTTTTTCTGTAATCTTATGTAACCAATTACCAGTCCAATTATTTAAACATAGGATGACCAAAAATTGCATTTTTTAGTTAATTTTTAGAAGATAACAGGAAATATAAAAATGATTATTTTATCAAATTTATTCAATATAAAAATTGAATGTTTGAAACAACACCTGCTTGAGTGATGCTTGGGACAACCAGTACATAAACAAATGTGCTGCCCAAGAGATGCCTGGGCTGAACTGGCCCAATTTCCCCCTTACCCTTTCTTCCACCTTTCTTCCCTAGTATTTTATAAACCCTCCCTACTCAGCTGTGTGCTTCCCACTCTCTCCCCACATCCCCTCTACCCCAAATACACTTCAATCTGGTTCTGTAAACATGGAAACCATGCCTCCTTCAACAGGGTGACCAGTCACCAGCCAACTTCTCTGCTTTCTCAATAGATACAAAGGATCCTCCTCCCAAACACCAGAGGGGGATGATAAACAGCCATGCTCTGGACTGTGAAGGAACTGGATACAGGCCTCCAGTTGTGCCCAAGCCCCTCACACCACATACCACTGAGCAGACCGTGAAAAGGCACAGGTGACAAGACAACCATTTCCAACACCCAGTACACTGGGTAGATGGCAATATATTTTCCTTTCTTAATTTGTTTCCCTTCAAAAAAATTACCTTCTGCCTTTTCCTACCTTCTTAAATAACGTTTTAAAAACATCTGAGAGCTAGGAGGAAAAACAGAAAAGACTGCCACATTTGTCAGGTTTGATTATGACCCAAAGTAAGAAATGTTTTATATCACAATATAATATACATCATGTAAATATATACATATATATCATTAAGGGCAGTGTACTTTTATATTTCTATCAATTCTATGCCATTTAATTTTTTTAAATGTATGTCACATAATATTGGGCTAAAGTAGCCTGCCACAAAGAGTACATACATACTGGATGATTCCATGCACAGAAGAAAGGTCTACATAAGTCAAACTAACCTTCAGTGATAGAAGTCAAAAGGATGGGAATATCCCTTGGAGATGGGTATAAGACAGTCTTCTGGGATGCTATAAATGTTCTCTATACTGATCTAGGTGGTAGCTACATTGGTGTACAAATGCAAACCCAATCAAGCTTTACAATTAATCCTTGAGTATTTTACTCTATGTAAATTATACTTCAGTGGAAAAATAATAAAAATTAAAATAAACAGTGGGGTTGAAAACAAACTGTTTTCGTTAACTAAAATGGTTTTGGCTAACTTGGTTGTAAATCACAGGTTGAAAATAGTTCTAAATACGTCAATTTTAAAAATATGTATTTGTTTATACATGTATATGTACAACACAGAAATCTCCCTAGGTCTTAGGATCAAGCAATAACGAATTATGTTGGCTGGCTAGGTAGTAAGAGAAGAAAAGAGAATACAACTCATGTATGTCTTTAAAGGAAAAAATACAGATTCCTAAATAATGAATATTAGGTTCAAATAATGAGTTTCCTCTTACTAGTAGGTATTCTGTTTACTCAGCAAGTGTAGAAAGCTACTTTCTAAATTCTATCTAGATTGAATCACATGTACTACATTTTGCTTTGAAACATTTTGAATCCTCAAACATCCAAAAGCAAAAAGCAAATTTCAATGGAAAATATACAGAAGTCCCTAACATGAGGCTGGGTGTGTATCTTGGTGGTAGAGTACTTGCCTACCATGGTTGAGGGCCTGAAATCCATCCTCCATACTAAAGAGGGTAAAAAAAAAGTTCCTAACATGAAATACAAACACTCAAGCCAAAACTCTTTCCAGTTTTGGAGGTTACAATGGTAGCTCTAAAGTTAGCTTTAATAGGCAGGTGCTAAAAAGATTCTGTGGAAACAAATTCCAAAGAAAAACAATACTCTAAAATCCTAGCCAGGAAAGAAGATTTATATTTGAGAACAGCCATGCTGCCTCGAAATAAAGGTCAATGTTAGTCTATTTATAATCCTATTCAGACAAACCAAGTTTCTATTACAGTGTTTAACATGTGGGTGTGTGGGGGGGTCACCATTTCACTGTATTATCTAAAAAAGAATAGAAAGGCAGTAACAGAGCAAGAGTATAAAGGGCTGGAGAACACAAAAGCATTTCTCATTTAAAAAGAATCATGCAGAGAAGTACAAAGATATTCATTGTAGCATTGTTCATGGTAGAAAAAAATAGAAAAATAGAACAGCAAAAATACAATGTTTATACAGTACAAAATAATAAATGAATCAGATCTATAAGCCAGTTAGGTTAGATTTCAAAAATAGGGCTGAATTTGTAAAAATTTAAAAGCAATCCAGAATAAAACATATAGTAGGTTAGGATTTGTGTAACATCTTAAACATTTAAAAACCACCATATATATCACTATAATAAATATATTTGTAAAAACATAAAAATGATATGGAAGTAAAACTCCGTAATGGTTGTCTCACTAGGGTGTGGGGAAGAAGAGAACAGGAATAAGGACAGTGCTTAAAAAGAATTTCAATTGTAAAATGTAAAATATTTTATTTCTTTTAAAAATACATATGCTAAAAAACACTACAGTGATAGATATGAATCTGGGTGGTGGCAGATTGTTCACCTTTGTGCTTTTCAGTAACTTCTGAGCACCTCAAAATTATAAAACACTCATGCGATTTTTTTTTTTTTAGTTGAGAGTTACTCAGGAACAATTTCTATAACTTAGGCAACCACTCTTTAGTTTAGTAGCAAGATCACTACACCCATCCTCTTTGAAATGATGTCTAGTAATTTGAGTAAGAGGGAGTACACTTGTGAATACAGTAAGTAACTGGTTATTATGAGAACACTTAACTGTATTTTGGTTATTTCTTTAATACTTGTGATGCAACATTAAATATTATTAGAGGACAAATATTTGAAGAATTATAAGAAATACTTTGTAGGACACATTTTGTGAGTGAGACTGAAGTCTCACTCAGAACAATGAAGTATTTCACACACCATCTTATATTCAGATCAGAAAACAGCAGCAATCACAACATAACTGTTATTTCAAGAGACTCTATTATGGATACTCATGAAATGAGAAAATTTTCAATAGCATACAAATAAGATCAGATGATTACCTTGGCAAGTTCGGGCAGATAGCTATCTAAACCGGAACCAGATCCTTCCAGTTTGCATTGTTCATCATCTAAAATGGCAAAACAGATTATCCAACTCACTTATACTGCAACGTATTTTATTTAAAGCAGGAGAATGAAGGCTATTTCTTTTACGTGCTGCTGAGTGCAGAGATGCTCAATGCTGGATGCACAGGAAACACGTGGGGGCTTTGAAAAGATTGAAGCACAGGCCCAGTGGTGAGAGTCACATCTGCAAATGCTAGTAACAGTGTGGACTGGGCTATTCAGATTGATACAGCCTCACCCAATCAGAATCCTTGGTGGCACCAAGGAAATAGTATTAAATAAAAAACTCTCCCAAGCACTTCTAGGGGGCAGCCAGGGTGGGTAATCACCTAAAGGCTTAAATATAACATGAACTATCAAAAACAGCCAGACTTTTTGCACCAGTTTAATCTGAGGCTCCAGTCCAGCCTAACCTTGTCTTAAAAATTCCAAAGGATATTATTAATGCTAACTATAAGTGAGGATTCCTTGATAAAGATTTGAGGTATACTTTTTAGTTTACTCTTCTCATCTGATCAGTAAGTTTCATTTTTATCCCCATTTTATAAGTATGTAAATTGAGGCCTAGAAATATAACTAGCTTGTCCACGGTCACATATTTGAAAACCACTATCACTAGGGTAGGACTAAAATCAGTCTTACCTCTTTATCTTCAATGCTGTGGGTTTTTTTTTTTTCATTATGGAACTTCTATACAAACAATGTCAGGGCAGTAAACTGTAATGTGACACAATCTTTGCTGGGAGGTTATCTGCAAAAGGCTCACATCTGTCCTCCTCTTATATATCTGTGCAATATTTCTCCTTGCTACATCCACCTGGCAAAAATAACAACAACTACAGAGCAAATGTGGCTGTGGATGGCTAGAGCTACCTACCTTCATGAGAGTCTCCATTTCGCTTTTCTTGCATTGCAGCTTCAAAGTTGAGCTGGAGAATCTTGTTTAGAATTGTGATCCATTCTTCCATTTCCACTTCACTATCAGCTGCCAAAAGATAAGTACTTTTGTCCTGCATCTTGAGCTCAAAAGCAAAACGCCGGACTTTATTGTTCTGAAATGGAAAAAGGAAAGACACATTTGGAACGTCTTTAAAATAAGCTCTCTGTCTTATTTGCTGAGGGGTGCTATCTCATTGGCATTGTGGACTGAGTTACACAACTACAAACTCCCTCCTATGAACCCCCATTGCTGCCCACCTCCCTTCATTTTTATCTGACTCATTACATTTTCTACTTATCTATCATACATATTGACCCTGCAATGAACTGGAAGTGCTTCATAGGCAGACTGTTCCCATTTTTTTGTTGTTGTTGTTCCATGCTATATATTTAATTTTCAGAACAGTGTTTAGCATGTGATAGGCACTTGAAAAGTGTTTGCTGATTGAATTAAACTTCATGCAAAAGTTTCATTAGCTTTTTTAAAAGCAGTGTGCAGCATTACACTTTTAAAAGCTAATCATTACCTATCAATATGTCTTTCTTACTTATCTGGAACTTACTATGAAGTTTATGAACTCCTTCTATACCTGTCTCATGCCTCTGGCTTTCAGGCCAGTATGAGAGTGACTGGTTGCAATTAAAAATAGCAGACCAGGTGTATGAGAGGGAGCTTGCACATGCACCAGACCAGGACATGCCAACCTTGGTACCGCTGACATTTGGGTGGATCATTCTTTGTCATAGAGTGTGTCCTGCATATTAGAGTATGTTTAGTGATATTGTCATAGAGTGTGTCCTGCATATTAGAGTATGTTTAGTGATATCCTAGCCTCAATGCACTAGATACCAGTAACTCATCTGAGTGGTGACAATCAAAACCACCCCCAGACATTGTCAAATGTCCTCTGGAGGCAGAATCATCCCAGGTCTAGACAAAGGTTCACTCTGAGGACCATGGTACAGTCTAAGTTGAGAGATGACAAATCACATCAGCCTGAGGGAGACAGAACAGCCTCTCCTCACCACTGAAATTCCAGCTGGTTATCCATAGTCCCCAAGCGAGCTCCCAACACAGATATCAGGTACAGGGTGATCCCTATCCCCGAAAGATCCCTCAGTGTTTGTTTTGTTTACACTTTTTAAAATGAGTGCCAGGAAATTCAGCAAAAACAGAACAAAAAATCCTTAAAGGTATCTCAATTTAAGAATGCAAATGAAACTACTATTTGGGAATCCCACATGAGAAGTTGATTCACTTCATTAATAATTCACTCTGATATTCCTTGTTTCACACTTGTTTCACATCAATAAATAACCTTTGATGGAATTTAGTTCTGCACAGAATTTGCTTTAAACTGAGGTTGGATTGAGAGCTGAGAATCCACATGCTGATCAGCTTGCTGCTGGCTGAAAACAATTATCAGTGAACATGAAGTGGTGTTACTGTCCTAATCAAGGGCTCAAACACTCTTATGTGTATTCCTTTTTTCTTTTTCTTTTTCTTTTTAAGGGGAACAAGATCTGGCACAGTGGCTTTACTATTTTCCAATAATTAAAGCTAGCAAGATGTAACTAAAATTCCATATTCCTTATGTCCTAAAAAGCCAGATGATCACATCAGTTGTGGTTGAGAAGCAGGTGTCCCCTGTGAGAGCAACTGGGCTCTGGTTTGTCACAGTCCCTAGGGCTCCCCCGTCCTTTACTGCCACTGAATTTAGCTGCTGGGCCCTTGCAGGCACCTGATTTTGAACATTAACTTCCATTTCTGGTCAGGACGAAGTAACAGGGTCTGGATTTACTCTCCAGTCACATTTACTAGAACACAAGACAAAAAGAGATGAAACAACTGTTCTCAGGTAAGGAACAAGAAACACTGTGGGCCTGTCTCAAAATAAAAGTTTTAAAAGGGATTGAGATGTAGCTGAGTGCAAAGACTCTGGGTTTAATCCCTGATATCACAAAAACTGAAAATCATACATCTATTACATGTGTGAGAAACAATATCATCAGATACCCCCAAACAATGATCAACATTTAGAAGGTAAAAGCAATGCCTTTAAAGTTCCCTAAACGATTTCCTTTTGGATTTTACAGCCAGTCAAACTGAGTCAAGTGTGGATGTAAAAAAAAAAAAAAACAATCTACAGATACATTAACTCAAAAAATTATACCACCTTATACATGGCTTCTCGGGAAGCTACTGGAGGATAGCCTCTTGCAAAATAAGGAAAAGGAACCAAAGAAAGGAAGACACAGGGTCCTCGAAGCAGGTAATTCTACGTGGTGAAGAAGGCAAAGGGACTCTCCAAGATGGCAGCTGTGCAGGGCAGAGAAAGCGATTAGTCTGATTTGGAGCAGGAATCCTATCTACCAGCACAGAAGTCTTTCAAGGATGTCCGAGGCAGATGAGTAAAGAAAAATGTGTGAACACTCATTATCTAGCAATATGAAGATAAACTCCAGACAGATAGTGAGAAAAGTTTTAAAAAGTGATTGTTTCAGGGGAGTAGGGAGTGGGTGAGGTGGTGATGTGAGGGTGAAGCACCTTCCAGACGGCTCTTCGGTACTGTTCACTGTTCCAAGAACAAGAATGGATTCCCCGGACGAATATGCAGCCTACGTAGGTAAACGAGGGTGCCTGTGGTCACACCAGAGAGCCATGTCCCTGACTTCACTCATGCTAGCCTCCCTCAAAATCCTCCTTCAAGAATCCAGCTCAATGTTATCAACCACTACAGGATCATTCTAAGGAAGAGTTCTCTGTAATAGTGACTGTAACTATTGTGAGTTGTCAGAATATTCATTCGTCACAGAGCCCTCTGTCTGAGGACCTCTAAGAAAAATGGCTGAATGATCTTCATTCTGAGATTACTTGGGAAGCTTCTAACTGAATGTCTGTATCTTATGTGCACTGCACATTGTGAGACTGACAGTCTCCACATCCAGAAAGCAGAGAGCCCAGTTGAGCCCACCCACAGCTGGAATGAGGTCTTCAAAACAACACTTTTCTTCATTCTGCTTTATCTTACCTCTACCTCAATACTCTGTTCATCCTTCTGTTTTCATTGTCAGTTTAAATTTGTTACCCTCTGTTTTATGCCTCCTTGTTAAAGTTATCTTAAATCCTCTTGGAAATGACAAGAGGATGGATGGAGGGATGAAGAGATGGGAAAACAGCAACCCACTTTCAAAGACAATTCCAAGAACGTGTAGAAGGGTTCATATCAAACTAGTAACAGGTTTCTGAGACAGGGAGAGATGGGAGGAGCAGGGAGGGACCCCAGGGAACTTTATTTGCACTTCTGACTTTTTTTTATATAGCAAGAGTACACTTTTGTGCTATATATAAAGACAATTTAAGTATAACTTTACAACTGTAACAATACTACGATCACAAAAATATATCATGTTGATGAGAAGCTTATCACTTGCCAGCATTATATGTACTAATTTTCTCAGTAACTACATCTGATACTATCATTATCCTTATTTAACAAATGAGGAAACTGAGGCATAGAGGTTAAATACCATCTTTAAGATTAAAGTGGGGGAGCAGATATTTGAACTCTGCCCAATCTGTTGATAATTGTATGATTCGGTCTTTGGTGCTACTAGGGGGTGATAAAAGTTATCACTGAGATGCTAGAAACCAGTCTCAATACTCCCATGTGTTAATTCTTCTGGTCTCCTCATTTACCCTAGTAATGAAACACTGTCAATACCCAAATTCCACAGATGAAGGAACTCTGAATAGTCAGACAAAGTCCCACAGCTAAAAACCAGCCAATGGCAGGTTTTAAACATAAGAACATATGCACCAGAGCACTTGTGCCCACTGCAACATAAATACCTGCCATTTTCTAAAATGCTGAAAATAAGATTTTAAGGTTAGATATTATATTTCTATCATGCATAGCGCCATCTGTGAAAGTGTTTGCCTAAATCTTATTATACATAATACTATTCCAAACAAAGAAACTGCTGAAAAACTTCACATTTACCTGAACCACACCCATGCAGGAATCCAAAAATATTGATCCTTTTGGTTCCTTGGAGATCTTTTCATCTTTGTAAAAATTCAAATTGTAGGATCCATCACCAAGTTGAATCAGGTGGAAAAACCGTCTCTTAAATGACTGAGATAAAATGACACACACAGCTATTTTTCAAAATGAAAAGTTACAATCTCTATCAATAAACCACAACTACACAAATCCATAAAAACTTTTCATTCTCACCAAAATAAATCTAATTCCAGAGGACATTCCAGGTAACTGGACTGCCTGAAGATTTCCCATTACATCTACTGTCTGACTGAATTTTAATTCCAAGGAAGATGTTCACTGTAACATCCACAGGTCAATTTAACATTTTACATAACCACCAAAAGGAGTACAAGGAGTTCAACTTGGAATGCAGACCAGAAGGACAGACTCTTTTTCTCAAATCCCCAGAGATTCTGGCTCACACAAAACAGGATCTGTCTTCTTTCTCATGACACTGATTTTCCAGCTTCAGGACTATGACTATCAGCATTTCCTGATTTAATGTTCATCTCCCTATTCATTCTTTCTCTTTCATTGTTTCTTTTATTTTACCAGATCTTCTCCCTAAATAGCTTACATTAGTTTTTACTTTTCTCTTTGCAACCCTCTCCCAATTTAACCCTTTTCCTTTTTAGTCCTCTGGTTTTGCTCTCCTTGTCTTTGTTGTGGTAGACATGGACAGGAGTGCTTAGGTTTAGCATGTAACACAGCCCCTCTGTGGCACTCTGTGAAGTAGCACAGAACACCACACAGTCAGGACAGAGAAGAAGGCCTCTGGTTGTGATTGTAGCCACTCCAGCCAGTGATGGTCTCCATGCTACTGGAGAGAGGGCAGTGAAGGCAAGTGAGTGGACAAGGCTGTAGAAATGGGATGCTATTACCAAAGAAGCTTGTAGTAACCAGACAATATCCCTTTTATTAGGAAGACCAGCACATCCATTCACCTATTCTCAGGGCCTACAGCAGATAAAGTCTCATGAGAGGAGAAACCAGGGTGATGAGCCTCCTTACCCTCATGGTCACGCTGATTGCACTGTTCATGTTGCCTTTGTACAGCCACCCATGCTTGGTGATCCCACCCTTCTGAGAACCAAGGGAGGCAGCATCCTAGGAAGGAAAGAAAATACCCCTGCAGTCAATCTTCCACTATTACCTGTTATTTATTGGGAATTTGGTCAATGGGAAAATCATTTTTTTGGTGGTGACTTAGTCAATTACCCCTTTATTGCAGCATTTATTGTCCCAACACCTACAAGTCACATTAAGGTTCACTTAGCAACAGAAGAGAGAAACTAGCTATGAACACAATTCCATTACAGCAAAGCTAAGTTTAAGATTTTATTTTTATGTGTTTAATGAGCAATAGAAAATACATACCACATTTAACCACTCAGTTTTAAGGTCTCTCCTGGAATCATGAAATATGTTTTCAAATTATACTCCCCTATAATTGCAGGACAAATCCCTGGAAAACTTCCCAGGAGCTTAGTTCAGGGAAAGGTGAAAAAAGAAAGGGAGGAAATATGAGGCAATGCAGAACAGAGAGATAAAATGAGGGAGTAAAGGAAAAGGAAGGAAGAGGCAAGAATACAAGTAGGCACAGAGGGGGAAAAAGAAGTTAGAAACATAAAGAGAAATTTCTAAAGAAGTAAAGTGCTTCTTCAAGCTCAGACCTGACACAGTATGAAATCTGGGTTTAAAGAGGTGGGCATGCAGCTACTAACTACTGCTAAAAATGTCAGGCACATATCTGGAGAGATCCTAAACAGACAGCAGAAAACATATACATACACACAAGCAACTGGCTAAACTGGCAATTTTTTTTTAAAAGGAAAGACTTAAATTTATAGCGGGGCACCCAGCATGTAGTGGGAGAATGAGAAATGCAAAGATGAGAAAAAAATTTTTTATTGGGGTCCCTCACTCAGTAAACATACTTGCTTAATGCCCTACTTGCTTCCTGTACCTTCTCTCTAGCCATAATCTTTGCTCCAAGAGCAGAGGGAGAGAGTGTGTTAAAACCAGGCCTCATTAAAAGCAATCCAGAAGAAATAGCCATTCTAAATCTACAGGCTGGAAATGTAAGCTACCCTGTTGAAAAACAACCTAAGTTTAAGGTCTAAGTCATCTTGTTATCTTTTAATAGTGTAGTCAAATCTGAGCCAAGTCTTTGAAAATGATCTCAGAACAAATAAACATTCTCCAAAGAACATGAGATGCTAAGCAGTCAAATTGAAACAGAGACCTTATGTCAATCAATCCAATAATACACTTTAAAACATTCTTCCCCTGCTTCCTGAAACATTCCAATTCCTGTTTTGGGTAAATATTGATAATTTTCTAACTCATCTTAAAATCCTGTAAAATCAAGGGTTAAAGTGAAAAGAGAAGCAACAGCAAGCAAGCATCTCACCTCATCTTTGTCAACCTCCTCATCAACTTCATAGACATGAACTGGAAGTTTATCCAACTTAGCTGCTTTGCTTTAAAAATAAGAAAGAATAATTTGTTTTATAATTGCCTAATCAATAAGAGTCTGTATTTCTTCCTCCAAGGAACCAGGCTTTATAAACCCAAAGCTGTTCGTATCAGGTAAGAAATAACACAATCTAGGGCCTGGGATTTAGCTCAGTGGTTCCACCGCTTTTTCAAGCACAAGGGCCCGAGTTTGATCCCCAGTACCAAAACAAAACAGAACAAAACAAATCACACAATCTACACCACTGCTGTTCAAAACAGGTAAGCCAAGAGCAAAAGTCATTAAGCTCCAAAAAGCTATGTGGAAAAGGAAGCAGAGCTTGCTGGGAGTTACGAGGCATACTGAAAATAGGAATGTGGATTGTGTATTAATAAAGACTTGGTAGAGTAACTTTTTGTATAACTTATCTTTGAGAGAAAATGGAATATAAGGCCACTATTGAGAATGAAAATAATATTAACAACAGTAATAGAGGTGGCCAACGTTATAAAAGGGTTATTATGTGTTAGGACCTGTGTTCTGTACTTTACACGCATCATCCCAAATTTTGAGACGGTGGAGCTATTAAAATCTATTAATAGATGAGGAAACTGAGGCTTACAGAGCAGAGAAGTTACTTAGACATTTATAATCCTTTTTCTCATCATCCATTTGGAAATTCTTATTAATGCAAAAAAAGTTAACAGAGTAAGTACAGTCAGTCTGTATCTTGCGCTCATAAGAACAGTATGAACAAGACAGTGAAGATGGGCAAACATAGACCTAAGGAGTATACTCATCTGGAGAAGATACTGCTAGGAGGGAGTGTTCTCAGCTGAGATTTAAAAGGGGGCAATCAGGAAGTTGGCTGAACATTCTTAAGGAGTGGCTCAGCCACACAAATAGGAAAAACAAAAAGCTAGGTCCTCCGAGAATAGTACAAAAGATTTAATCAAACTCCTATGCAATAAAGAGAAAGAAAAGTATATAAAAATATATATCACCTGAGTTTCAAGTAAGATTTTCACTGGTAATGGTTACTTTTAAAACACAATCTGTCTCTACTGTTTTCAACTGTCATTATCCACTAAATTTTACTTGCCAACTGCACTATGACTTCAGAATGCACTGTTTTATAAAAACCTGTTAGGGTAAGAGCTACCTACTCCTGGTTCACTTTAGATAGCACTAATCTTTCTAAACACACTTGCCTCATGTGTATTTTAAAAGAATTACTAATTCAAAAGGGGGTAAAGAATTTATCTGGGAAAACACTTGTTCCTTGATTTATTTTATTTATTTATTCTTGGTACCGGGGATCAAACTTGGGACTTTGTGCTTGCAAGGCAGGCAGCGGAACCACTGAGCTAAATCCCCAGCCCAAATAAACACAATTTTTTTTTTTTTGTTACCAGGGATCGAGCTCTAGACCTTGTGCTTTTGAGTCAGGCAGCAGAACCGCTGAGCTAAATCCCCAGCCCCTATTCTTTGATTTTGTTAAAACACAATTATTCAATACAGTATACTCTTTTCAAGTCTCTTTTTCAAAATATTCTTTTAAAGAGAAACACTGTAGCATATTTCAACATACTTATATTTTTCACTGAAATTTTTCACCTATTTGTTTTAATAAAATTCTGAAATAAAAATACAACTAAAATAGTTTTAGGGCCAGGGATTTAGCTCAGTGGTTCCGCCGCTTGCCTTGCAAGCACAAAGACCCGAGTTCGATCCCTGGTACTAAAAAAAAAAAAAGTTTTATATTTAATTAAATAAAATAAAAAATATAATTCTAAAATAAAAAATAAAATTCTGAAAAGAATCCCAGAACATAATTAAACCATCCTTATGTTTCTTTTACCATCTACTAATGCCAGAGTGCTACATTTAAATCTTCTAATCAAAGGCTCTATTCATAATAGCTATATGGCACACAGACAAATCTAGCAGTATTTTCTACAATTACTCTGATTGCATATGAAGTTATACACCTCCCTGGGCATTTCAAGTACAAAGACTTTTCCCCATGTGGATAACCCCACTTTGTGTGGTCTGACAGTTTACTTACTTTGGAATCTGTCGAAACTCTCCTGAGTAATCTTCGTATTTATAGGTCACAAGATGCCAGTCAGAGTTGTAGGTTTTGATGCACTGTTAGGGGAGAGGAATTTAAAAAAAGAAAGAAAAAAAAAGAAAAGAAAGTGTAAGAGGGAAACAGGAAGATGGGTGAGGACTTCTGGAATATATGCCAGGAGGTTTGGGAAGGCACACCCATATAGCCACCAAAAAACTTTCCCATTAGCCAGCTAATGTCTGAAAATCCACCACCAGACATACCTGTGAACCACTGAAACGTTACCCATTGGAGAGGTATCACTTCCCATTATCATCATCAATGGTCTGACAGCAGATTTTACAAGGAGACAAACTTTGCCTAACTTTATGACATTTACTCAACAATGCACTATTTCACTTAAAAGTGCTTGTTTCTTAGTGAATAGAAAGTGTGAACCTTAAGTCATTTTCATGGTATTTACTGATCTTAGAACTGGCTCTGTCAGTTAATACTCTCATATAAATTTGTTTTCATTTTTTTTCTTTCCATTCATGGATGACAGAATGAGGTTAATATGAGTAAAGATTTCAATCCCAGTGTGTAGTGGCACCATGACAATTTTGTGTGTGTGTACAAAACATGTATCATATGAAGCACTCAATGGTCAAACATTCTTTTGGGGAAACTAACCTACACAGACTGCATGTAAATTTCCTTACTATGTGACAGAGTTAAGGGGCCAGCACAGTGTCCTTTATTCATCCACTTGTCCACTAGGATCCACCCTGTACTGTGTAAAGTCTTAAGGTTATAAGACCACATCTGATAGAACCTCAAATACAAATAAGTCAAAATCAATAAAGGTGAAGAGTTTTAGTTAACATCAGCTTAGTTCAAATGGTAATCTATATAGTTAGCTATTGACTACACATACGCAACCTTGGGTGTGGCAAGAGAATATAAATGAATTCATAGGTAAGTAAATGTTTTTATGTCTTACCTACTATAATTTATTTTATAATTTAATTTATTTTATTATTTATTTTTAATTTATTTTATAATTTATTTTCTGTAACTAATATCATGAACAACATCTTTATTCTGCTAATTTCACTTCATAGTTTATGCTGCCAACCTTTCTATCCGTGTCACAGCCTGCATGTGAAGGCCCTCTGAAACAAACCTCCTTCTACTCATAAACTCATAAAAATAACAAGAGTGTTATTTTGTGTCAGGCTCATATATAAGCACCTTGCTTGAAAGGATGCAAAGGGAAGTAATATGTTTTGAGATGGGGAATAAATAGCAGAGAAGGACTCAGAGTTTCCGTATGGAAGCTGAGCCATGTTTTGGGGTTTTTTTACCATGAAGATTGCCAACATTTCAGAAATGGGATAAAGAAGTTGTGATTTTTCTATAAAATTGAATATTACTCAGCCATAAAGAACGAGAAAATAGATTCATTCATAGGAAAATGGATACATATTGAAGATATACTCCTAAGTGAAAAAAATAAGTCACACATGTGTAAATACCGAATAGTTTCCCTGGTGTAAATAATCTGCAACAATGCATGAGATTCTAATAAGACTACTGACATTTAGAAATGGGAAGAAAGGAGCTAAAGGTGTAGGGAAGGTGGGATGGGTAGGGGAAGAGTAAAAAGGGAAAAGAAAAAAATGTGAGAGAATGAAAAGATGAAAATAAAGTGTTTGTAGATGGGGAGGGGAGGAGGGGGAGAAGGGAGGGCAGAGGTAAGAGGAAAAAATGAGAATCAAGACTTGTCATGTAGAGGTACAAGATCCCAACAATGAATGTGACTGTACTGTATCCCTAAAATGTACCAATAAACTCAATTAAAGCTGAAAAAAAAAAAGATTGCCAACATTTAAAAATACTATTTTGTTCTTATAAATGCTGTTTAAAATTTTTCAAAGCATTTTTGAGAACAGATACTCAAATTCAAAATTACATTTCAAAACAAGAAATAGGATTTCAAAACTATCCACAGTTTTAGATTTTGCCACTACTGCCCCTAGGTCCACCAACACCTCTAAGACAAGCCCGATTCTGTGTGACACACTCCTATTCTCTTTATCTCGGCACAGTGGTTTTTGATCAAATAATGCAACTAAACTTGTACCACTGTCTCTTCCAGGGCATTAAAATAATCTTAATGAAGTACAGATATACCTGCCCAATTAAAAACTAAGTAAATAATCATAAACTTACATACCATGAATGCATTTATGAGTGCAATATATAAGAATCCAAATTTTTACATCTCAGGCAAAATGGAAAAGATAATTATATCTAAATATTTAAAATTATAAGGAATTGCAAAAAAAAAAAAAAAAAAGTCGAGCAGGTTAAATACCCAGAGATTCATTAAAGATGCCACTGTCAACATTCTACATAGTAAGCTAAATTGCAAGGCAGAGGCACAGAATAAGGCAAACAACCCTCATTCCTCTATAAAAGTCCAGGAGATAGTGAGTTCTATTAGAAATCCTAGCAGAGAACAGAACCTCCAAAAGGCAGAGAGGACTGACTGATTACTGATTAACCTTCTGAACCTTCCAAACTTGAGAAATTCAGTAATATTTTGAAGTTACACTCAAAGGTTTGTGAATTTTTTTTAAAAAGCCATTAGATCATTCTCTCTGCACTAGGTGTTAGAGAGGAAGTGCTGTTTCACTCCACCCAAGTCCGGAAGAGTTTAGTTATTGGCTCAAGTGCCACAGAATGAAGCAGTGATTTCATAACCTACAGTGATTAATTTAGTGGAAAATTATCCCTCAAAAATCATATTTTTAAAAATCAATTGGAAGAACTTGAGTTATTAATAATTTTGCTGCATGCAAGCCAAAAAACTTTCTACAGAATGCTAGAAAGTAAGTAATTTTGGCAATGCAACTCAACTGAATTGTATTGTGACAGCAGCCATAGGTAATATGTAAACAAACGGGTGTGGTTATTACAATAAAACGTTACAAAAATAAGTCACAGGCCAGATTTTGCCTGCAGTCAGTTTTATGACTTTTAAATAAACATCTATGCCTACCTAAATATATCTGGCAGTATTTGCCTAGAATTAATCTTACTAATATAGTGGACAAGAGATTAAAACAGGCAGCTCCTTTTTCAATGGATGAGAGAACACACATCTAAAATTTTAAATACCTAATTTTTCAAAAGTATCAAGGAAAACTAAATAGCGTTATTTAATTAGTCTTTAAATATAAAAGTATAACTCAATTTTATTGATGGGAGTATTTCTCATTTAAATGTCAACTAAAACATTGGGCTAAAACTCCTTTTATATAAAGGAGACCTTCAATAAACAAAATTAAATATCTACTGAATTATTATTACCTAAAAGTAGCCAGAGAAGGAAACAAATACCCAAGAATGGGGCAGCAACCCAACTCACAATTTCTCTTTTCCACATAACAAGATATTATTTTTATGTTCAAACAAAGGTGGACCTCAAAGTCAGGCAATGCTCATTATCCCCTGGTACTTTATGAATATTAAACCAGCAAAAATAAACATACAGGTGAAGTAATATAATGCATAAATGTGCATACTGAGACAAAGAATTTATTTACAAGTTATACCCTATTCTAAATCAATGACATACAATCTGTGGAAATCATTTTTTATAGTCAGAAACAAATGCTGTGGGGCTAGGGATGTAGCTCAGAGGTAAGCCACTTGCCCTGGGTTCGCTCCCCAGGAGAGAGACAATATACCCTGTGGATATTTCTGTCCATTTCAAACTCTGAAAATGTCATATATTCTATTTTAACTTCCATCATAAAAATATAATTACCTCTTTAACACTTTCTTGAAAGTACTGAAATTTAAAGACAAGAGGAAATAGAGGAAAATGACTTTGTAATGTAAACTAATGTAGAAAAAAGTCTTACTTCTGTAACAAATAAGCTCTGTGCTCTCTCCTCTGCATTGGCAGGAACTGTGGAGCATATGTATCGATCTTGCCGCCTCAGGATACCTGTCTGTGAACAAAAGCATGAGAAAAGTCTGAGTTAAGGTAGAAGGCCTGCCCCACAGTGGAGCTGAACACCCTGTAGCAGCGCAAGCACCCACACTGCCCCTTCAGCATCTACCAGTGGCTGGATGCGGTCACCTCTTTAGGTCCTGCACAAAAAAGTTCTATTTGACATCTTGTTTGTGTTGAGACAGGGTCTTGCTGTATAGTTCAGTCTGGCCTTGAACTTACTATGTAGCCCAGGCTGGTCTCGAACTTGCAGTGATGCTTCTGTTTCAGCCTTCCAAGTGCTGGGATCACAGGCGTGTACCCCCATACCCAGCTCTATTGACATCTTGACATCTTAAAGCCTTCCTTCTGGACTGGGGGCCTGAGGAGTCCTTCTGCCCTTCCTGCTTCCCAAAGGCTGGGCAGAAGCCTGTTTCATACTCCCTAATGCCAAGAACTTGAGCTAGTCCTACTGTACAGCCTCTGATTTACCTTAATTGCTTTTTTTCTATCGTTGTAATATATACATGGCAAAAATATATTTCAGTAGCATTAAGTATATTCACAAAGGGCTGGGGATTTAGCTCAGTGATGTCGCTGCCTGCCTTACAAGCACAAGATCCTTAGTTCAATCCCTGGTACCACAAAACAACAACCACAAAAAAAAACAGGACAGTAGTATATTCACACAGTTGTGCAACTCTTGCTGCCACTCATTTCTTAATTATTGATTACATCCATTCTTGTTCATTGGCATATCCTCAGTGACTAACAGTATGGATAATTACACAGGAAAAAAGTTCTCAAGGTTTCCATCTTCTCCTACAACATTAGAACTGTTCTTGTTTCATGAGGCTTCAGTGCTCATTTTAAATAATGAAAAAACTTCATGTAGCTACTCATCTACCCAATAACTGTGCTTTTGGTTTCAGAAAGAAATGTTCTAGATATTTTTCTTCCATGGAATGTAATCCTTGAGTATTATTATCACAGTGTAAAAACAGCATATGTGAAAATACTTTGCTAACAGAATCTATCCTGTTGGCTCTTCATGACTATTTGCTAAATTGAGATCGTAAAGCATCTGTCCTAGCTGTTTCCCTTCTTCTTTTGATTGAAGACAGATGTGGGTCAAATCTGTGATTCTCTATCCCAAGTAAAGAATGTCAACAAGGGCATACATTTTGCTTATAAGTTAATTTATTTACTGCATGGAATACCTATATTTATTGTTCTCCTGCACCTATTTTTAGACTACAGGAAGGGAAGATAGCAACTCTGTCCTCTACCAAAGTCTCTGCAGGTGCGTTATTCATTCTTTTAGCTTCTGGGGAAGCTTTTAAGATCCTGGACTTAGTTTCTCAATGGATATTACAAAGGAATGGTGGTCTTTCTGGCATATCTGTTCTCATGAAACGCCTACATGGTCACACTCATGGAAGAGGGACATAATTTGTTAAAAAAAAGCTTCAGAGAAATACACTGATTAGAGACTCAAAATTGCTATGAATGAGCTATGATATCAACAAATGGGAACTGTTTTTGTAATTCTGTATACTTCAAAGGAGGATACCTTCTATTTCCCCACTTAGTATATCCTTACCTTGGTTTATATGGATCTTCCAAGAGTTTTGAAACTAATTATCATGCTTTTAAAACATTCATGAGATAGCACATCTCAAGATATAGAACTATTAGGATCATTTTCAGCCTGTTTTTCATTGTAGTAGTAGGAAGAAAAAAATTATCAAACTTTTCTCAGTGGAATTAGCAATTCAAGAAGATTTAATTCTAATCACCCCTCTAAGGTGAGAAAAATAACAATAAATAGTTTTTCATTCTTATGTATCAAAGTGCTCTTATACTCTCATTTGAAAAAGGCAATTTTAAATCATTAAAAAGAGACCTGATTTTAGCAGATAAGATAGAATGTTTCATGTACTTTAGGTTTATAATCAATGATTACTGATCAATTCCTAACTTCGATTGTGAGAAAGGATAACTCTGTGATCAAAAAGCCTATCCCTTCTCCAGAGACTTCATCCAAATAAACTAGATATTCTTCTTTAGTACTCATCTGGATTGAGTGTACATTTGTACATATTTCTTTAACTATATAATATCGGATCTATTTTAGATAATCTCCAAGGATGGCCAATGTCTTTTCCCTCATATGCAGACTGTTCCTCACTCCAAAAGGGGGAGTCTATTTCCTCTGCCGTTAAGTATGGGTTGGCTTTGACTGATTCATTAAAGTGAGAAGGGTGTGGTGGTACATACCTATAATCCCAGCACCTGGGAGGTTGAGGCAGAAAGATTGCCACAAGTTTGAGGCTAGCCTGTGATACATAGAATGTCAAAGCCAGCCTGAACTACACAGAAAGAACCTGTCTCAAAAAATTGGCCAGATGTGGTGGCACACACCTGTAATCCCAGCACTCGGGAGGCTGAGGCAGGAGGATCACTGTGAGTTTGAGACCAGCCTGGGCTACAGAGTGAGTTCCAGGTCAGTCTCAACTACATAATGAGACCCTGTCTCAAAAAAACAAAGAAACAAATATATATATATATATGATAC